ACTCGAGTTATGAGCCTCAAGATCCACATCGCTCTAATGGTTCTGGCGATCGACCTTCGAGGTGTACCAAGTCATCTAGACGTGAATATCACCACCGACGTCAAGAACCTAGTCCTGTTGTAGGACAGTCGTCTAGGCACAGCGCCTCTGATAGGCGATCTTCTCGCCATCTACGTAAGCATAGTCCACAAGATCACAACTCTACCGGTAGGAGTTCTAATCTTTCTCGGAGACGTGCTGACCGTCCTCGACATCATCATAGGCGACATCTGTCAAAGTCACCTCCCTCTTCTCCTTCTAGCTCTAGTGGTTCTAGTACTTCAAGATCTTCTTCGCACTCTAGGCGCTCATCATTGCTGTCTTCCTCCGACAGCGAAGGAAGCCATCCTGCCTCTAAGAAATCGAGCAACTCTTCTCGATCTCTTTATGGACTTTGTTATCGAAATGGCGTTACTAATGGTCGTTTCTATGTCCCAGCTGAGCGTGCGGTACCTTCCTATCGATCTAGGTGCCCAGGTTGTAAGTCTAAGCCGTGCAAATCCAAGATCTCCATGAAGGACTATGATGTTGCTTCTAACATTGCGACTAAGTCGTCGTCGACCTCTAAGTTCTTGGGTGAGGACGATGATAGAAGCGGTTCTACCTTCGTCCGTGAAATTTTGTCTGCTCTAGAAGGCCATGATGCTGTTACTAAGTATCTATGGGCCAAGCAGAATATGGAGAAGTCTATCTGGGCCAAACTTATCAAGGGTACTGAACCGCCTACTAGATGCTATGTCGACTATGAGAAACACCTCGATCGGCTATGCTCTACTATTCGCAAGCTCTATGACAATGATGATGCTATTGCGAAAGCTGAAGTCAAGTTCGTTACTTGTCGTCAAGGTAACTCTGAGTGTCTCGCTAGGTATGTCAAGAGGCTCGAGTCTATTGTCACCGAACTTCACTTCATGGGTATTCGTACGTATGAGTACATCCTCAAACGTCGTCTCTACGATGGTCTTAACTCCGACTACCTACGAGAAAAGGTCGACAAGGAACTGAGTGACCCTAATGTTTCCTATGAGAAGTTTGTCTCTTATCTATCTAACTTTGAGCGCCGACGTCTAGGCCGTGAACA